TTTTATGTCAAATTGATGACTTGAATTACTCCTCTGCTATTTTCAAATTTAAATGACTTCATTTCTTAATACTTATATTTATTTTTCGTTTTTGCAATTTGGTTACGCTTTTCGATAAATTTAGTAAGCCTAGGCCTAGGCCTTGTGTCTAAAGTTTTTGTTGCAACAAAATCTCTTCACACAGTGTTTAAATTATTTTGTCATTAATTTACTTTGACTGCTTCAGCTGATAACCATTTTAACCCACCCACTTTGCCGCAAAAGTGTGCTCATTCCAATGAAATTTTATCGAATTTCAAAATGTATACATAATAATTATTGAAAAGATATCGCTACGCTTTTTGTTTATTATTGCTATCACATACATTTCTGCTCTAATTAGGCATAAATTTACTGATGACATTTATCATTAATTTTTGATTTATGGCTCTAATAAATTTTCTTGCCCATACAATTTTCGGTATTTCTGGTACTCTACATTGCTAGCATTCCCCTTTCTCTTTAGGAAAGCGAAGTTTTATTTATGAATTGTCGATTGCTATTAATTGAAAACATTAATTTCTTAATTGAAATTATATTTATACATTCGATATTTCATTAAAACTTAACTCAATAAAAATATTTATTATCTTAACTCAGTCACGATGCTGCACGCTAATTTTAATCTTTCAGAAATGTTTAGATTATACACAAGACTCCATGGTTTTCAAAGAGGTTTCGTGACTCACTTGAGAGACATATCTCCCTTGGAATAGCACCTAAATTAACACGCCTGTTATGTCACCTTAAAGTACACTACTTAAGACAACTTAACATAATATAAAAACCAGTGTACAATGCAATCTCGGTTGTTTCAAGTCTCAAACTAGGTGGTTTATGTTTGACACTCAGCGAGCATTTGTAGGTTATTGAATCATACTGTTGAAGAACTTATTTGTATACATTTTAAAGATTAATACTTTGGAAAATGTATGCTTTAATGTGGAGATTAGGGATGTTAGTTTTTGATACTTAACCTAATCTGGAATTTTCGGTATATAAAACAGAGCTAATTCCAGAGCTATAATCACACTATTGAAGAGCTAGTTTGTATAATTTTTTGAGATTAATACTTTGGAAAATTTATACTTAATTGTGGAGATAAGGGAGATCTTAGTTTTTGATACTTATACTAATCTGGAATTTTCGGTATATAAAACATAGCTAAATCCTGACATCTCTAGTGAGTTTCTATATCATATGAGCAAAAAAAAAAAACTATAAATGTTTTTTTTGTTTTTGTGTTTTTTTTAACACCAAATTATTTGTAATCAATGCTGTTTTCAAGTAGTGAAAATTTGGATAATCGTATACACACAAAGCTTATCTAATTCTATATAAACTATCGATGCAAGGCTTGGCCTTTTCGTGCTATCACTTGCAAAGCATCTACAAATCTTGAAAAGAAAAATTCAGGAATGAACAATGGGTCCAATCTAAAATTGGACACCTATGGAAAAGACTATATAACACAGAGTTAGAAATATTGGGCAACCACAACACAGTTATATATAGTGTGAAGTAATAATGTTTGATAAGGCATGAGCACGTTATGCGTATGTTTTATGATTTGACAGATTATCAACACTTCCAGTCGGAGACATTTATTGCTCATTGTAATGCCATCAAAGACTCCTGTTAGATGCGAGTTACCCTAACTGTTATTATTTCCTTGTATTATTCTTATTAAATCATTTCAGATAAAGTTGATGATAAGTAACAAACAAGTTTAGCTTGGCCAGACCAATGAATAAATGATAAATTGAAGTCGCTTATTATAATTTATATATGATATTGCATATCCTATGTTAAAATATACGTTTATTTTGGTATCTAGACATGCGTATGAATGCATGTGAGTGACTATTTAAGTCAGTTAAGTAATAAATGTATTAAGTTTTAATTATCCGTGTTCGGATAACGAAACAGTAATTTCATCCTTCAGAGACTTAATAAATTTTAGATTCCTAATCAATGGTTTAAGTTTGATTTAAATGTAATTTAAACAGACGTAAGAATAGAATAATGGATGTAAATGTAGACAAACTGAAACGTATCTCTCTGCAAAGTTTGTAGATATTTCCAACAAGTCTTTGAAGCCTACCTAATGAATTAGTTTTACCATATTATGTTATATACAATATTATATTATTATATTAATATATTTCTACTACTATGCCGCAGTACTAATTTTATATTTTAGGACTTTAAACATGTGAAGAGTTTAGCATCATTAAGAATGGCCTTCTCTATCGGATTATTTCAAAGAGTATTTTATACAATTTAACATTTTGCGAACAATCAAATTAACATCTACTTAGATTGCAAGATTTATATATAATCATTAAAGGCTACTTCCTCTCACAAAAGTGAATGGAAGCTATTAAATTCTTGTCGAAAAAGTAGAAGATAAAGCAAATTTAACTAAAATAACTTATTTAATATTATTTGAAATGTGTTAATTAGCCATTTTCGTTTTTTTTTTACTATTCTTTTATTGTGATGAAATCATAAAAAATCTATTGCCGTTTTACATATATAAGCGAAAATAATGATCGACTACTAGTAAATTGGTTATTTCGATATAAATGTATTAATAGTGCTTTTACTATTTACTACTTTTACTATAAAGTAGTAAGATATAATATAATAATTTATATCTTATAATATATAAGATATAAAAATACATTTTATTATGGAGTATAATTTTTAAGCATAATTTCAAGTATATAAGTAAAATATATATACGTTTATATATGCAATATTAATTTATTTATATAATAAATTTATATATAAATAAATAAATAAATATATATATAAATAAATAAATAAATATATAATAAATCAATATATACATAAATAAATATATAAATTATACATAAGAAAGAATAATATAAAAAGTTTACAACGTATAATGCCTCTACAAACAGAATAGATTAAAAACTAAACAGTTAAAAATATAAAAATATAACTAATTCAATTATTCTACAGCTGGTTTATTATAACTCTATTAAGTGCCATACCCTGAGAGTAAGAGTTGGTGACATCGCGATTAATTGAGAGGACAAAATTAAATACTTAGGAATCACGTTTGATAAGCGGTTTACTTGGCACAAGCACATACAAGTCAAAAGAAGTAGTTACGCAAAAATACTGCACTGCTTACAACCACTTTTCAAACACAACAACCTTAGCGCAAAGAACAGAAAGCTGATCTATAGCCAGATAATTAGACCAGCAATACTTTATAGGTGTGTCGCATATAGCAAAGCTGCCAACTCTACTATCCAAAAGCTACAAGTTGCTCAAAGTCAGGCTCTCCGAAGGCTCTTCAAAGTGCCATGGTACATTCGCACGAATGACATGCTAAGAGACCTTAAAATAGATCCGGTCAAAAAATACATAAGGGACAGAGCTCTACTTACCACTATCTAATCTCAGAGTAGTTACTAACTGCACGGGGCGTTACACAGGTCTAAGATCAAACATTGAATAATCACGAAGATTATGAGGAATACTCAAAGTAGTCAGTGAAATGTGTGGAACTCTGCAAAAATCCCCCAGCCATCATAGAGTAAAAGTGCTCAGATGCACTAACTCGGAAAAGGCTCAACTTAAATAATTTCGTTCTAATACAAACAAAGCAAGTGAATTTGAAAATAAAACTTTCACAGCAAATTAACAAAACTCCCGAAAAATGTGCCAACATAAAAGTCAAGTAGTACGGGTTTGGGTCAGTTGGTTAGGGAGCTCTGACTTTGAGCTTCAAATTTGGCAGGGCACGAGTAAGAATCTTGGAACTTGTAGTCTCAAAAAATAATTAAATATAAGAATTATTACCAAGACCACTGTTGATGGGTATTTAGCAATATTCAAAAGAGCTCTATGGTCAGCAAAAATTCAATTAATTAAAAAAATTACTACTAATAAAAATAAATAAATTAATTAAATGAAAAAATAAGTTAATATAGAACGAAGATTGATTGAGGTTGGTAGGTATGAAGTTAATCATAATAAGAAGAACTGATTTGGGAAGTCTTTTAGGTTGTTTATCTAATTTAGTTCAGCAAGTCATTTCCTTTATATGCAATAAAATAATTTTATTAATAATACTAATAATTATAGTTGGAAAATGTAAAAAGTGATTTTATAATATTGTACAAGGAAAAACATTACAAAACCAAAATGCGTGTCTGTATCGCATTAATTTTGCAGTTTGGCAAATTGCAATAAAAAAATTATAAAAATTTATTGTAAAAAAAATATTATTACTATAAAATGCGTTAAATTAATATATGTATATTAAAAATTTGTTGTATAAATGCTTTCACTCTATCAAAGGCAGTTTTTAAAGTAAACGAACATAGATTAAGACTAAGACCGCAATAAATTTGAATGTCTACACCTACAAAAAACTAATCAATCCGCGTTTAACAAATCTACAAAGCGGCGAAGAAAACTGCATATAGATACTTTCGCTTGCGAAATCTTAAGCGTAAAGTAGACGTAGACGGACGGTTAGACAGATATGTAGAAAGAAATACAGATAGTCGGAACCGATTAATGAGTAAAAAATTTGCATACCAAAATCCATTAAACCAAACTTTGCATATGTATCTTGTCTGTATGGTACGAGTATAAGTCAAAAAGTATTTAAAAATGTATTAGACATGTTGTGCTGAGTTATTGAATTAAAATTCAATTCCAATTGCAAAGTATTCACAAGATATTGGAGTGACAGCACGTTGTAGATACTTTCTGAATGGCGTATAACGCATACCAAAAATTTGAAGCATTTTACACATTTTACACATTTTACAACAAAAGTGTGCAACAAATTAAAATGTAATAAAATCCAAAATAAATGAAATAAAATCACGCTTTTTATTATTGTTGGCTTTTTCTTTGGTTCGATGTAAACCTCATGAAATCACACGCTACAATACTTCAAACGCATTATTGCTATAAAAATCCAAACTAAAAATATTGTAAATGAAACTGGAAATAGATACTCACCTCTATTCAGAGTGTGGAAAAATATGCGATTGTGTCACATTGGCGCTTCTTTCTAGCGGTAGGAGCAACGCAAGCGTCACCGTATACATATCACGCGACTTGCAAGTAGACAATGTGTCGCGCTAGACAATCTTTTGTTTTCTTTTTTTAGATTGGAACGGTAGCGGAGTGTACTAATTAGATGACAACTTATTAGGTTTTAGTTTAAAACATTCAGTGGATAACATAAAGCCACGTTTTTATATAATAAAAATCTGGTGGTCTGGAACTGGAACCATTAATGAATCGAGTACTTTAATGTTACATGAGTAGTTTAAGATATTCAGTGGATAACATCATTTGCTACAATGCCAATGATAAAGCCACGTATTGATATAATATAAAACTCTGGTGGTCTGGAACTGGAACCATTAGTAGTGTACACCTAAGGATAACACAACGCAACATATTCTATTCAATACGACATGTTGAAAAACAAATACGATAGATTAAGATACTCCACAAACCGACTAGTGTTATAATACAAAACCGTCAGTGTGAGATAATGACATAAATAAAACTAATCATTAGAGAAACAGAGAGGTCTTTCTGTGAAATGACAGCAACAGAAAACATGGGCGTCTCTTTGATTTATTTTATTTAACATGTTTTAATAATAATATTGATAGTGTCGACATTATAAAATAAAACTATTTATTAGAAGATTTTTAATTTTTAATAAAATGATTGAAAAAATTTAATTATGAGATGAACGTGTTCACCACTTAAACCAATGCCGTCACTGGCTCAAATGTACGTGTTAAAAAAACTGCCAACTGTCAGAAACTATCAACATTAAAAATAACGTAACAAAATAAAATTCAATAAATAGCCAAAGTGTCAGTTAACTGCATCAATAAAAATATAGAAAAAAAACAGGAAAGTGCCAATTACTTGTAGCAAAAAAAAAAAAACTGAACACTAAGAAAATAATTTTATTAAACATTTTTTTAGGAAACGTTTGCATAAAGATTTTTAATGTTAAAATCTTCAGATAATACTCAGGCAATTGTCTTAGCTGGAAGACAGAAGAAGATGGAAAGAGTCACTAATCTGTCGGCGTATCTACCCATGCGATATGATTCCATATTGGTGTCTTGGTAGCAATTGATGAACTTCTTCATATTGGAAACATTTTCTAGTGTTGCCACATTTTTGAACTTATAGGTATTTACAGCTGTTGTAAATTAGCTTGTGTAGTGCAACAATGACTGCTAAGTTATTTAATGCAATACTGTACTTTTTACTTTCCAGAACTTAATAGCTCTTTAGAACTATTAAGGATAGTACAATAAAAGTCCTTAGTCAGGTCCAAGAAACTTTTATAATCTTTTATAATCTATTGTTCCATAATCTTAGCATTTGTTGTAAAACTTAAATGTTATTTGTGTGAAATTTTCCTTAGTTTTACTTAATGCGCTACTGTAGCTGCATTTGGAAACCGCAGTAAAATTGTCTAAGATAAATTTAAAATTTATTTATAAAAAACTATGTTAATTGCTTTGCGAACAATTACAACTTCTGTTGTGTCACGTAGGGTCGACATTTTTTTTACTTTTGGAGGCTGATATGACATGTACATAAACTTAAAATTGTTGGCACAACATGACATGACACCATAAAGTATACGTATTAAACTTAATTTATATTAATTTTTGTATTTCTAAAAATAAATTTAATAAAAATATTGACTTCTTTCTTTATAGGCTATAATGCTTGTGTTTTTGCTTATGGACAGACTGGTTCTGGTAAGACATTTACAATGATGGGCACTCCGGATAATCCCGGTCTCATACCGCGCATTTGTCAAGAGCTTTTTGCGCGTATGCGTGTTGGTCAAGAGTCTGGCACTGGTTATAAAACACATGCGAGCTATCTGGAAATCTATAACGAACGCGTAAAAGACTTACTCGGACCACAAACCACTGGACATGGTTTACGCGTACGTGAACATCGTACACTGGGTCCATACGTGGAGAATCTATCACAGCATGCTGTATCCGATTTTGATGAAATTCAGGTATACAATAGCGTTGCATAACTTATTTATTTGTTTAAATTAATAAGTGTAATATATTTATTTTTTGTTTAATTTTTAGGAATGTATTACGCGTGGCAATATGCAACGTACAACTGCCAGTACTAATATGAACGATACCAGCAGTCGCAGTCATGCCATCTTTACGATAACATTTGTGCAGGCTGTCTTCATGAATGACATGCCAAGCGAAACTGTTTCTAAAATACATTTGGTGGATTTGGCGGGAAGGTTTGTTGTTCGTTCCATTTCGTTACGTTTTGACATCGTTCAACAATGAAACAATTAATATGTATAAAATTAACAAAAAAAAAAATAATAATTTTGAATAAGTAAATCTAAGATTGAGGTAGTCTTGTTCTGCATACTAACAAAGTCAAATAACTGTTAACAAAAAGACGGTTAAGATTTACGGTTGGAAAGATAAAGATCGCTTTAAATACCTTTATACCATATATAAAATAATTACGATTAAGACTGTAAGCTCGAATAAATGAATGAGTTTAATAGTCTGAGCAGTGAATCTGAGATTATGATTACGATATAAAATCGATTGCTAAGAGCTTGGTTGTATTTTACATTCTTGTTTTTTTAGTTACCAGGAAACTAAACTTTGTTTATTTTATATGCCAATATTCAATACAACAGTTCAAAATGTAGTGTAGACCATATCTAATCTCCTAAAGAAATATTTTTAATGCCAAAAACAAATTTAGAAATATTCCAATTGCTGCTTACACCTCATGGCGTCGCTTCTCTTCTTTCTTGTCCAAATTCACACAATAATTTTTGACCTATTGGATTATTGAGCCTTCCAATGGTTGGATTCCTTCATCTAAATCAAGTTTCAATAAGCAAATACTTATATTTGCTTATTGAAATATTCCACTAATATTTCAAACAGACCTATCTTCTCTTATTTGATCTATCTTCTGATACCTCATTCCAACAAATGTAAACCCATATGTTGTAAGCCCATATCTTGTAATCCTTTTTTATTTTTTGCAATTAAGACTGCAGTCATAATTCTAATTTTGATACCTCATTCCAACCCATGTAAGCCCATATCTTGTAAGCTCATATCTTGTAAGCTTATATCTTGTAAGCCCGTATTTTGTAAACTCATATCTTGTAAGCTCATATTTTCTAATCCATTTACATTTCTTGCTATTAAGACTGCAGTCATAACTCTAATATTTATAGGTGTGTCTACATATCATCGCCTGTTAACTTTATATAACTTAGCTCAAATAAAAAGCTCCTTAAAATAAGTTAATTTCTTACTCTATCTTATTATGAAAAAAATTTCTTGAAATGAGTTTAATATATTATAATTTCTTGCTATTAAGACTGCAGTCATAACTCTAATATTTATAGGTGTGTCTACATATCATCACCTGTTAACTTTATATAACTTAGCTCAAAGAAAAAGCTCCTTAAAATAAGTTAATTTCTTACTCTATCTTATTATGAAAAAAATTTCTTGAAATGAGTTTAATATATTAATATTGCAAGAACTACACTTAATATATACCTGGTTCCTTCAAAGCCCGTACTCATTATTTTTCTCTTCATTTATTAATTTACTTTCCTAACTTCTTTCTAACTTTAATTTATCTTTTTATCCTCTTAATGCTGTTTGGAATTACTGCAGTAGGTGTTCTTAAAGAGTTGGATTAAACCTAACTCAATGTATGATGAAGTGTTTTTTTGGCAGAATAACTTAAATAGACTACATTTGATAAACGTCAAATACAGAAAACTAAATCAAATGATATTGTTATTAAATGTTTTTATATACAAGCAGCAGTACGTCTTGCAAAAAAAACCCACTTCACTTAAGCCCTCAACATGAACCCATTGTGATACCACTGATAGTTTATTGTGGTGACCCGTAGGGATCTGAACCTCCAACTTACAAGAAACGCCGAATCTATGTCCCGTAACCACTCGTCAACTACGACGATCAGTCGTCACTCATCATCCCTAAAGATATTTTACATACCACTGATTCTGCATTTCCAAATTGCTGCAGTAGGAAGTTCGTTCGATTGAATAGATAATAATTTAATTGTATGTGTGCATTCATTAGTCCCACTATAATAGATAAGTTTATACTTCTAGACAAACTTCTCATAACACACTATTTTTATTATTTAATAGTTTGTAGCTAATCTACGGCATGAAGCTCTTCATTTTATTTAATATTTTTTGCATTCTTCAATGAATGGTTTTTTGCATATTATGGTTTTGAAAGGTAGTTTTGTTACACCTCAATTTAAATATCAATCAGTTAAACAATTAAAAAAATAAAAAATTCATGTAACAAAAATGGTAATAAAGTGATTAGTAATGAAAACTAAATCATAAAACTGAAACAATAAGTAACGATTTGCTTCTTGTAGTTAACATGCGATTTTTGAATTGAAATGAAGTTTTAAAATTGCTTTTGTAACATATTTCAGTGAACGTGCCAACGCGACTGGAGCAACTGGTCAACGCCTGAAAGAAGGGGCTCACATTAATAAATCGCTCGTGACGCTGGGCAGTGTGATCTCAGCGTTAGCGGAGCAAACAGGCACAACAACGAGTTATGTGCTGAACACAACCACCGTATCGAAACGTATCCTTTATGTACCTTATCGTGATTCCATATTGACATGGCTGTTGAAGGACAGTCTAGGAGGCAATAGTAAAACGATTATGATAGCAGCACTATCGCCAGCCGATTGCAATTACAGCGAAACACTGAGTACGTTACGTTATGCCAATCGTGCCAAGAACATTATTAACAAACCGACAATCAATGAGGATGCAAATGTGAAACTTATACGAGAATTGCGTGAAGAGATCAATAAACTGAAGTCTATGTTAACTGGTGATATTGTAAGTGAAATAAATTTCAAAGTCTTTGCAATACATAAAATTGATTTTATTCCACACCATAGCATTCACTACAACCTTCGCTTAAGATGCTAGAAGATTTGCAAAAGAAAGAAGCACAAGAAAAAGTATTAACAGAAGAGTGGACGGAGAAGTGGAAAGAAGCTCAATCTATATTACAAGAGCAAAAGAGTTTAGGTTTACGTAAGTCGGGAGTTGGCGTTGTGTTGGATTCCGAAATGCCACATCTGATAGGCATACATAATGATGTGACGACAGGAGTTACACTATATAGTTTAAAGGTATTTTGTGTTTTTATTTATGCTAACTTAAATTATTGAACCACTTGTTTTTCGTGAATGCATTTAGGAAGGTGAAACTCTTATTGGTACTGATGATAGCGATATACCACAAGATATTGAATTGACTGGTGATGGAATACGACCACAACATTGTAGCATTGTGCTAAGAGATGGTGTAATTACTTTACATCCACGTTTAATGGCGCAATGTTGGTTGAATGCACGTCTTATAGATGAACCAACAAATATATCGCAGGGTGATATTATTTTATTGGGTCGTACCAATATATTTCGCTTTAATAATCCAGCTGAAGCGGCGAAATTACGTAAAGATCTTAGTCGTTCACAATTGGATATGTCGCGTTTATCACTGATAACTTCTTCGCGTGAAAATCTGCTCAGTTCGAGTTTTTATGCTGATGAAGATGCTTTGAGTACTAGCATGACGAGTACTCCACCAAAACGTGAAAGACAATATTATCCTACAAAACCGATGACACGTGATGATCCCGAATTGCAAGATGAAAATCGAAAAATACTGGAAACTATTGAAAATGCACTAAAGCAGTTGAATATTGTAAGTGCTTTTAATGAGTCTGTGATTATGTTATTTATATTTCTGCCGAAAATGCAAAACCCTTTAAAATATAATCTGTTAAAAATGCAAAATAGAGTCATGTATATTTGCATGAACCATGTTGGTCTGATCATATAATTGTCTATATCGCTTAAGATCTTAAAATATAACTGCAAGAATAAGATTTTAAGCAGTAGCTTAGTTTACATAAATAATTTCTGAAGATGATTAGGAAATAAATAAATTTTCAAGTAGAGAAAGTTTTTAAGTTCACCGAAACAATCTATTATATCTTCAAGAGCATGAAAAATTGTTAGCGTGGGATTATATGGACACCTATAATATAAGGTTTTATTATTAATGTTGTAGACAAATATCGACCTGAAACTAAATACATAAAATGTTGACAAGACCCTTGACAGTGAAGTGGAACGGAAGAAGTAATATATTGTAATGTAAGAGTAAGGATGAGGAAGGTTTCTTTGTTGTCGTTGTGGCAAAACGCCGCTAGTAAACCGTTTTTCAATGGGGGTAGGTTGGGAAAGTCATACGTAAGAATAAGGATAAGGAAATTGATAGGAATGCTGAATGAAACCTGGGTTTATATAAAAGAATCTTGTCACTTCAACAAGCCCAAGCCATAAATTAATATGACTCGATATTATTTGCATATTTGGGTATGAATGCAGATAGGCGACATTATGTAGAGTAGAGTTGTCATTGGGTCACGTACTGTGAATAGATATATTTATGCTTGAGAAGCAACTGTTAAGCTAGTGGTTTTATTCTGACTTCAATTGAGCAAGGGCAGTTTTTGCTGTTCGAGTGAGACGCCTTACATACCTATTCAAAAGTATCAATTGGGTGTCTGTTGTGGTGTTTCTTATCAAACAACAGTGATCTCGAAGAGGAGAGGTTATTCTTTCGGTATGGAGTGTGAATACCCCTCCTTACCAATATTTGACCTTACTGGTGTTATTTTAAAATCAAATTTGTCTATCAGGAATTGATCTTCTTAGTGAACATACAAATATAAATATTAGTTTTGTTTTATTTTTGAATATATTACTGGATTTTGGAAAAAACAACTATATAAATATTAAATAGTGTATAAAATGATGAAAAGAGTCTAGATATCTAATATATATATTTTACTTTCAGGAAAGAGTTCAGATGCATGATCAGTATAAAAATAAAGTACAAAAACTGACTGATGAGCTAAAGCGCTTAGTCAAAGAAGAATCAGACTGTTTGGAAGTTCTACGTTGTAGAGAAAAGGAACTTTTGGCTCGAAAAGACATGTTATTATGGGAAAAGAATAACGAAAAAGTTCAGGTAA